CCCCTGGTGGTCAGTGCGCTCCCACAGGGGGAGCTCCACTCAGCCAGAAGCCGGGCTCACGGCTGACGAGCCTAGAGGCGGTGGTGAGAGCCTCTCCCGCCTCCTTAGCAGCCCTAAGGACCCCTCAGGGGATGTCCGCCTGCCGGCTTAGGCCCACTCCCTGAGGTGGAGAGCAGGCCTAAGCTGGCAGGCAGACATCCCCTGAGGGGTCCCGGACTGCAAGTGGGCACAGGCCGGGCTGAGGGACCCTTCCCCCACCCCCCACACAAATGTCATGCACCGGGCCTCTAGTATGTTATATAAACATACCAATGACTATAGAGGATGCTTATAAGTGTGTGCAACATTTAAAAATAGAATATCTTTGTGCCTATATAATAGAAGGGACCTATAATACTTTATAGGATGTATGGCATAGTTTTAGGAGTGATTTTCATTTCCTGCTAAGGCCACATCATGATTTTGTATCTGTATCTCTTAGGTAGTTTTCTTCATCTCAAAAATTGGATAATATTACCTATGCCAGAAGACCTTTGTAAAGATTGAAAGAGAAAATGTATATTAATATATGTTGTAAACTGTAGAATACTCTACAAATGCCAGGGATTATTGCTATCACTGATAAGTGTTAATTATAGGTAATTAATGTAACAAAAATGATAACATCTAGTATCTAATTGTAATGATAATTTGTAATGTTTAATAATTCATAATTAATGATATTTAATAATAATTACCTTTCATAATAATTAATACTTTAGCAAGCTGGATGCTGTGGAGGAACAGAGATGACATGACTTGCTGTCTTCCCTCATAGAGCATAATGTTCATTTATTATTATATATGTATATGTGTACACATATATAATAAAATTCACACATATATTATACATATATATATATACATACCCTATACATTATATCATAACTAAATCCAGGTGACACGGGATGTGAATTTTGCCCTGTCCAAGTTTTGTATGATAGTCTCTTTACCAATGTAGAAAGCTTAGTTTGTACCTCTTGAGGATATAATTAACTTCAATTTGTCTTATCTTTTGTTTTAGGGAACAGCGAAGGTTTCTTCAACATCGATGCCCTACTAGGCATCATCACTCTAGCCCAGAAACTTAATCAGACAAATCATGCCCGGTGTACTCTGACAGTGAAGGCAGAAGATCAAGGCTCCCCACGGTGGCATGACCTGGCTACGGTGATCATTCATGTCCACCCTTCAGAAAGCAGCGCCCCCATCTTTTCAAAAGCCGAGTACTTTGTAGAGATTCCTGAATCAATCCCTGTTGGTTCCCCAATCCTCCTTGTCTCAGCTACAAGCTCCTCAGAAGTTACCTATGAGTTAAGAGAGGGAAACAAGGATGGTGTATTCTCCCTGAACTCATATTCCGGCCTCATTTCCACCCAGAAGAACTTGGATCATGAGAAAATTTCATCTTACCAGCTGAAAATCCGAGGCTGCAATATGGCGGGAGCATTTACTGACATCCTGGTTGTTGTTTACATCATTGATGAAAATGACAATGCTCCCATGTTCTTAAGGCCGACTTTTGTGGGCCAAATTAGTGAAGCAGCTCCATTGTACAGCATGATCATGGATGAAAACAATAGCCCCTTTGTGATTCGTGCCTCCGACAGTGACAAAGAAGCTAATTCCTTGTTGGTCTATGAAATTTTGGAGCAAGAGGCCTTGAAATTTGTCAAAATTGATCCCAGCATGGGAACACTAACCATCATTTCAGAGATGGATTATGAGAGCATGCCCTCTTTGCAATTCAGCATCTATGTCCATGACCAAGGAAGCCCCATCTTATTTGCACCCAGGCCTGCTCAGGTCATCATCTATATTAGAGATGTAAATGACTCTCCTCCCAGGTTCTCAGACCAGATATATGAGGTAGCAACAGTGATGCCTGTCCATCAGGGTATGGAGCTCCTCACAGTGTGGGCCAGCGATGATGACTCGGAAGTCAGTTATAGCATCAAAACTGGCAATGCCGATGAAGCTATTGCTATCCATCCTACCGATGGTCGAATATCTGTGTTGAATCCTGTTCTCCTGGGACACTCCCGGGAGCTCACCATTAGGGCTTCTGATGGCCTGTATCAGGATACTGCACTGGTAAAAATTTCTTTGACACACGCTCTTAACACAAGCTTACAGTTTGACCAGAATGTCTACAGGGCAACAGTCAAGGAGAATTTGCAAGACAGAAAGGCACTGGTGATTCTTGGCGTCCAGGGAAATCATTTGAATGATACCCTTTACTACTCCCTCTTAAATGGCACCGATATGTTTTGTATGGTCAAGTCAGCAGGCGTGTTGCAGACAAGAGGTGTGGCCTTTGACCGAGAACAACAGGACATACATAAGTTGGCGGTGGAACTGAGGGACAATCGGACCCCTCAACGGGTGGCTCAGGCTCTGGTCATAGTTTCTGTTGAAGATGTCAATGATAATCACCCTTTATTTAAGCATCTGCCTTATTACACAATCATCCAAGATGGCACAGAGCCAGGGGATGTCATCTTTCAGGTATCTGCCAGTGACCAAGACTTGGGGGTAAATGGTGCTGTCACATATGCATTTGCAGAAGAGTACACATATTTTCGAATTGACCCCTACCTTGGGGACATATCACTGAAGAAACCTTTTGATTATCAAGCTTTAAATAAGTATCACCTCAAAGTCATTGCTCAGGATGGAGGAACCCCATCCCTCCAGACTACAGAAGAGGTACTTGTCATTGTAAGAAATAAATCCAACCCACTGTTTCAGAGTCCTTACTATAAAGTCAGAGTGCCTGAAAATATCACACTATATACCCCAATTCTCCACACCCAGGCCCGGAGTCCAGAGGGACTTCGACTCATCTACAACATTGTGGAGGAAGAGCCCTTGATGCTGTTCACCATTGACTTTAAGACTGGTGTGCTAACAGTAACAGGCCCTTTGGACTATGAGTCTAAGACCAAACACGTGTTCACAGTCAGAGCCACAGACACAGCTCAGGGGTCATTTTCTGAAGCCACTGTGGAAGTCCTGGTGGAGGATGTCAATGATAATCCTCCCACTTTCTCCCAATTGGTCTACACCACTTTGATCTCAGAAGGCTTGCCTGCGCAGACACCTGTGATCCAACTGTTGGCTTCTGACCAGGACTCAGGGCAGAACCGTGATGTCTCCTATCAGATTGTAGAGGATGGCTCGGATGTTTCCAAATTCTTCCAGATCAATGGGAGCACAGGGGAGATGTCCACAGTTCAAGAGCTGGATTATGAATCCCAACAGCACTTTCATGTGAAGGTTAGGGCCATGGACAGAGGAAACCCTCCACTCACTGGGGAAACCCTTGTGGTTGTCGGTGTGGCTGACATCAATGACAACCCTCCAGAGTTCAGGCAACCTCAGTATGAAGCCATTGTCAGTGAGCTGGCAACCTGTGGACACCTGGCTCTCAAAGTCCAAGCTCTTGACCCCGACAGCAGGGACACCTCTCGTGTAGAGTACCTGATTCTCTCTGGCAATCAGGACCGGCAGTTCTCCATTAACAGCTCCTCAGGAATAATTTCTATGCCAAACCTTTGCAAAAAGCACCCGGGCCCTTTTTACAATTTGAGGGTAGGTGCTTCCGATGGGGTCTTCCAAACAACTGTGCCCGTGTATATCAACACCACAAATGCCAATAAGTTCAGCCCAGAGTTCCAGCAGCATGTTTATGAAGCAGAGTTAGCAGAGAATGCAAAGGTAGGAACTAAGGTGATTGAGTTGCTAGCCATAGATAAAGATAGTGGTCCCTATGGCACTGTAGATTATACCATCATCAATAAACTAGCAGATGAGAAGTTCTCCATAAACCCCCGTGGCCAGATCACCACTCTGAAGAAACTGGATCGAGAAAATTCAACAGAAAGAGTCATTGCTATTAAAGTCAGGGCTCAGGATAGAGGAGGAAAAGTGGGCTTCTGTACTGTGAAGATCATCCTCACAGATGAAAATGACAATGCCCCACAGTTCAAAGCCTCTGAGTACACAGTGTCCATTCAATCCAATGTCAGTAAAGACTCCCCAGTTATTCAGGTGCTGGCCTATGACGCAGATGAGGGTCGAAATGCAGATGTCACCTACTCAGTGGACTCAATAGAGGATTTGCATGAACAGATCATTGACATTAACCCAACCACTGGTGTTGTCAAGGTGAAAGAGAGCCTGGTGGGCTTGGAAAATCAGGTCTTTGACTTAAAAATCAAAGCCCAAGATGGGGGACCTCCTCACTGGAACTCTCTGGTGCTGTTACGACTTCAGGTGGTTGATAATGAAGTATCCTTGCCCAAATTTTCTGAACCTCTGTATACTTTCTCTGCATCTGAAGACCTTCCAGAAGGGTCTGAAATTGGTTCTGTCAAGGCAGTAGCAGCTCAAGACCCAGTTATCTATAGTCTAGTGCAGGGCACCACACCAGAGAGCAACAGGGATGGTGTCTTCTCCTTGGACCAAAACACAGGAGCTCTAAAGGTGAGGAAGGCCATGGACTATGAGTCCACTAAATGGTACCAGATTGACTTGATGGCACATTGCCCCCACAATGACACTAACTTGATTTCCTTGGTGTCTGTCAACATCCAAGTGAAGGATGTCAATGACAATAGGCCTATATTTGAGGCTGATCCATATAAGGCGATCCTCACTGAGAATATGCCAGTGGGGACTGCAGTCATTCAAGTGACAGCCAATGACCAGGACACTGGGAAGGATGGCCAAGTGAGTTACAGACTGCCCGTAGACCCTGATAGTAATATCCATGAGCTCTTTGCCATTGACAGTGAGACTGGCTGGATCACCACACTCCAGGAACTTGACTGTGAGACCCGCCAGACCTACCACTTTTATGTGGTAGCCTATGATCATGGCCGGACCATCCAGCTATCTTCTCAGGTCCTGGTCGAAGTCTCCATTACAGATGAGAATGACAATGCTCCAAAATTTGCTTCTGAAGACTACAGAGGATCTGTGATTGAGAACAGTGAACCTGGAGAACCTGTGGCCACTCTTAAAACCTTTGATGCCGATATCTCTGAGCAGAACAGACAGGTCACCTGCTATATCACAGGTAAGAATACCTATCTTGGAATGGAGGCACTGGGGTGCACTGAAGTCCAGTAAGAGTTGCCCTAAGACATGGGTTTAAGTCTTTGCTCTGCCACTTATTAACAGTGTGACCTTGGTAAATCACTGACCCTCCCAGAACCTCAGTTGCTCCATCTACAGACTTGGCATGCCTGTTTTCATTCACATGACAGGGATGCTAGTAAAATGTAACTTGAAAAAATTCTGAGAGCCCCTTATAAGTTGGAAAGGGCTTTGCAAAGAGGATCTCTTATTACTTTAGGTGGCATAGATAGCGTAGAAATGAGATACTGTAACTGTTCTCAGCTTCTGGAAGATGGAGAAGGCATCAACAGTTAAGTAATCCACGAGAACTCTCTCACATCATGACTGTTCTTGTAAAATAGTCTTTTGCCTAGAGCAAGTTGTGGATAGTAGAAAATGCTTCTTAGTCAATCACAAGACCTAAGTGTTGCAATAAAAACAGCCCAATCCCTTCATTTCACGTATAGGAGAACCAAAGCCCGGATAGAGGGAGAAACTGGACCAAGGTCATACTCCAAGCTTCCGTCTGGGATTAAAACCACCCTCTACAAACTGCTCTCCTCAGTGGATATCTATTGCAAACTTAAATTACCCCCAATTCATGTCCAAGGGCTAAAGCAGTCAACTAGTGACCAAAAGAGTTTCTTTACTTCTCAATGTCCCTTCCCCCCTCTTCCAGGTGCCATGTCATCCCATTTCCATAGATATGTTTCCTTCGGCTATCACAGCTTCTGGAGGAGAGTTTGAAGTCCCAACCAAGTATCATAGATTCCTGGAGACAGATCCTAGATCAGAACTGTTTGAAATATGGAGTCTTAGGGAATAAAATGTTGTCATCTTATATAAGACTCTTAAAAACACAAAAGTCTTTAAAGCTCTGATAATAGAATGTTATCAACTCTTAGAATAGTTGAATCTTGAAACTCTGGAATCTTAGAACCTCAGAAACCCATCTCTTCTACCAGTGGATGGTGTCAAGGAAAGATGACTCAGAAGCAAACCTAGTAATCACCTGACCCTCAACTTAGTCTGTATCCTCAGCTGTAAAATAAGACCTCAGAGAGTTTAGTATTGTTGGTCACTCTCCACCCCCCTCTACTGTTGAACAGATACTAGAAGGTTCTTGTATAGAATTAAAATGCCTTCCCTTTAACTTCCTCCAATTCCTTCCAAAAAAAATAAGAAACCTGCCTTAGGCACATATTTTGGAGTGGTGTTTCTGGCACTAATAATTGCATTACACATGTGGCCCTTGAAGTTGGAAGAAATGGTTATGCTTCATAACAATAAATAACTGACTTAATGTAGAATTGTGAATCCCTAGTTAAGGGCCAGCAATTCTAAAAGTGTCAGGTGGGCAGCCACCTGTGGCACAAAGCTTGGTTCATTGGAATTGCTCAGCTTCTTGAATCTCTGTCTCATGTTTTTAGAGGGAGACCCCTTGGGCCAGTTTGGCATCAGCCAAGTGGGAGATGAATGGAGTATTTTCTCAAGGAAAACCCTGGACCGTGAGCACATAGCCAAGTACTTGCTCAGAATTACAGCTTCTGATGGCAAGTTCCAGGCTTCAGTCATTGTGGAGATCTTTGTCTTGGACATCAATGATAACAGCCCTCAGTGCTCACAGGTGAGAGCCTGGTGAAGGGTTGGGTGGGTGGGAAGCTGGAGTGAAGCGCAAGAGGAAGGAGAAGGACTCAGGGGACCGTCTCTGAGACTGGCCATCACTGACTACACTCGGTCCTTGCTTTTCCCCGGCTGGCCTCAAACTAGTGCCTTGAGCAGGGATCATTCTAAGTAATTCCTTGGTCTTCCCATAGGGATGTCATCAAGCTCTTTAGGATCCATGGTCTATGCCTCTGCCCCTACACGCCCTACAGAGGACTATTTCTCTGCAAAACATGCCCAGAAATAAAGTAACTTCTTCACTCTCCAAGCACAACCTGCCATGCCGAATGGGAAACCCCTTCCATGGCTCAGTTTGTTAGCATGGATCCTTATTATCAAATGCATCCATAAAGAAAAGACCTGCCTCCCGAGACACACTGCACTGCCCCCCCATGCTCATATATGCATATATGCCCACTTCTGCATGGGTAATACATGCCAACACAGATAACTTCCTCCTGGCTATAGGTATTCACAAACATGCAGACAGGGCAGTTACTTTTCTTTTTTTAAAAAAATCTCACCAGAGGATAGATTTTTGCATAGATTTTTAGAGAGAGTGGAAGAGAGAGGGAAAGATAGAGAGAAATATCGATGTGAGAGAAACACGTCGATTGGTTGCCTCCTGCACATGCCCCGACCAGGGCCCAGGCCCAGGCCAGGGAGGAGCCTGCAACCTAAGTATGTGCCCTTAACTGGGATCGAACCCGGGATCCTTCGGTCCGCAGGCCAATGCTCTATCCACTGAGCAAAACTGGCTAGGGCAAGGGCAGTTACATTTTTGATAAGGGATATTTCCCTAAGGTCCTCATATAATTAAACCCTAAACTCTCTCTGTGTGTGTTTCTGTCTCTCTCTGTGTCACCTCTCTCTAGATCTAAATGAATCTCCCACAATTCCCCTCTTCTTTGTCTTCCATCTCCAGCTTCTCTACACTGGCAAAGTCAGTGAAGATATATCTCCAGGACACCTCATTCTGCAAGTTTCTGCAACAGACTTGGACTCTGATACCAATGCTCAGATCACATACACTCTGCATGGTCCTGGAGCAGATGAATTTAAACTAGATCCTCATACAGGTGGGTTTCCTGAGCTACAGGATTGAACCATTTATTTATTGAATACCAAATACCCAGTATTATGGTAGGCTCCTTGGGGAAAGAAACAGGAATTAACTTATCCATCCATCCATTTATTCAGCAAACATGTATACTGGCACAATGTGCTGAGCATTGAACTAGATGCTGGGGACATAATGAATAAACTAATAAGACAAAGATCTAGGCTTTATAATCTAATAGGAAAGGCAGTCATTGAATCAGTGGTTTGAAATGTGCTGAGTTAAGAAAAAAAAATGCAGGGTTTTAAGGAGAATTTTGATAGGAGAACCTGACTTAGGCGATTAAGTAAAAGCTCTCTGAAGAAAGGCCATTTTATGTGAGACTTGACATAGAGGAATTAGCCAGGGGATAAAAGAGTAGTAAGTAGTAGGGACAAACAAGACAGAAGGAGAATTTACACAAAGACCTAGTTTTTGCAAAAAGCGTGCACATCAGGACCTTATAGAGGGCCAGAAACTGGTGCACTGAAGGGGAGGAGACAGGGCAAAGGATAAGACCCTCAGGAGAGGGGCACCAAATCCACCTTTAGAGCCACTGAAGGATTTAGGCAGGTGAGCGTCAAGGTCAAAGATCTGCAGACTGGGGATAAAACCTGTATTATTGTAAGGATCAGAGATAAAGTATGTGGAAGCCTAGCCCAGGTCTGGCACATAATAAGAATTCAACAGATGTGGTTGCCATTGTCATTATCATTAGTTAGGGGACAAAGCAGAGAGCAGGAAGCTGAAAGTCCTGAAGGACAGACTGGGAATCCCTGGGAGAGGCTGGGCTGTGAGAGTTTGGTAAAGACAGGATGGGGTCTGCTTCCTTTGGAAGAGCAGCCCACAAAGGTAGGATCCCTGTCCTGATGTAGGGGAGTGTGTGGGGATGGGCAGCACAGAGGGGCCCGGTCACGATGGGCCAGCTGCCAACACTTGGCTTGGACCCAGTAGCTTTGGAGATTCCTGAGCAGGGAGGTGGCGGTGAGAGTGGTGTCCCAGGAAGCTGGCTGAATAGACAGGAGACAACATTGTCCTTCCTGACTCTAGAATGGGAATGCTGAGTCACCCCAGGTGGGTTACCTGATCTCTTTCTGCTGTTGTTTGTTCAGCTGCAGGATGATTAGTGGGGTAAAAAAAAAGGAGGGGGGGGGCTGGTTTTTCTCAATATGGAAATAATACATGTTTATTGTACAAAAATTCAAACAATGTACGCGTATATTATGCAGAAATTGGAAAGCCAACATAATAATTAACCTCTCCCCCAAAGATAAGCACTCTTGGTGTATAGTCTGTTAGATTGGTTTTCCATGCATCTCCAAAATCTCTATACAGAATTCTATTTTGTGACTTGCCTTTTTTTCACATAACAATATCTTGGAGAAATTAGCAAGACAGTATGTAAAGCTCTATTGTAATTCCTTTTTGGTTGCACAGTATTTTACTGTATGGCTAAATCATAATATATTTAACCAGTCTTTTTTGAAAAACATATAGGATGTTTTCAGTATGTTGCTATTATAAACAATATCTTTATTGGGTTGAATATTCTAGAGGATATATTCCTAGAAGTGAAATTGTGGGCTAAAGGGTAAACACAGTTTATGTGTTGTTAGAAATTGTCTAATTGCTCTTTTGAAATGTTATGCCTCTTTGCAGCTTGTTGGTATGGATGTCAAGTTGGTGATGTGGTGGTGGAGTGTGTTTGGGAGGATGAGGGAAGTGAGCAGGTATTGGGGGAGGGGAGTGGCTATAGGCTGGCCTTCTTTTCTCCCCGGAGAAAGCTTACCTGCTGCCATTTCTCTGGACAGGGGTGCTGACCACACTCACAGCCTTAGATCGAGAGAGGAAGGATGTGTACAGCCTTGTTGCTAAGGCGACGGATGGAGGTGGCCAATCTTGCCAGGCAGATGTGACCCTCCAGGTGGAGGACGTGAATGACAACGCCCCCCGCTTCTTCCCCAGCCACTGTGCTGTGGCTGTCTTTGACAACACCACCATTAAGACCCCCGTGGCCGTGGTACTGGCTCGGGATCCAGACCAAGGTGAGAACAGGAAGGCTTGGAAGCCATTTGCTCATGGGGTCACCTTGAGTGAGGGTTTGGCTCTGTGTGTTGCTCTGGGATTGGTAAGGACTGTGCCTCCTCACTGAGTTTATGGACACTTACAAGTGGAAAATATTCACAAACTGTATACCTCAGTGCTATATGACAAAAGATTTTGGCAATTTTTTGAGGCTAGTACAGAGCATTTCAGCCTCATTGTTTCTCATTGCCACTTAGACCTGGAGCCCTTTCAATCCTGCCATTTAACCTCAAGGACATTTTGAATGTCCTTTATTGGGTTGATTATTCTAGAGGATATATTCCTAAAAGTGAAATCTTAAGTATACTAATTTAATCTGAAGTATACCAATCAGAATTATTTAACTCTGATTAATTTGCTATAAGAAAGGAGTTTGGGGCACAGACTTCATTAAGCCTACTAAATTCCTTGATCAATTTTCTATACAATAATGTGGAATCCTTTTCAATATCTTACATTTTCATTTTAATGACATCATTTTCATTAGATTTAATTCTTTTCCTTTTAAAATTTACAAGGCATATTGGAATCATCAGGAAGTATTTGTTCCATATTGTTCCAATTATAGCTTCTGCCATCAAGTGATTTATTGTGATTCTACACACACACATACATATACATGGGGTGTCATGTATGTGTGTATGTATGTATGTGTGTATTTGTGTGTGTCCAATTTTTCTTGAGTCAAATTTTATAATTGAGGTAGGGTAAAAAAATGCTCTGGGGTCAAAAGTAGTCAGATCAACATAGGATATGATAATGATGATGATGATGATAAAAGTGGGATCAAAATATTCTCTTTTGTTTGATCCCAGCAAAGTAAATTGAAGACTTCCTAGAGAAAGTGAGCTTTAGCTTGGCGATGAAGGAGGTGAGAGATTTTGGGGGGACACAGGGGTACTAGGAAGGGCAAATAGTGCAAACGCAGCAAATGGCTACAAGGCACTGCAAATGCTCAATTAGCCAGTGCTTGCTCACCTCCAGGGGCAGGAAGCTCCCTACTTCCTAGGCAGCCCTTCCTTCCATGGTGCCTCAGATAATGATCAAGTGCTACCTATTTGGAGCTGACAATCGTTAGTACTGGTCCTGCCTCTGTGGCCACCCAGATCTCCCAGACCCTAGCCCACGACAGCCCTTCCAAGACTAGGAGGTGGCGACTTCAGCCCCTACCTGCTTCAGCCCCAACCTCCCCTTTCAGGGTGGAGGTGCCCTAGTGTCTCCAGTCATGTGTTTCCAAACCCACCACCCTCACAGGACACATCCTCTGACCTTGCACCGTTTACCATAAACTGTCCAAATGCCCTCGGTCTCCCCCACAGGTGCCAACGCCCAGGTGGTTTACTCCCTGCCGGACTCTGCCGAAGGCCACTTTTCCATCGAAGCCACCACGGGTGTGATCCGACTGGAGAAGCCCCTGCGGGTCGGGCCACAGGCAGCACTGCAGCTCACCGTCCGTGCCTCTGACCTGGGCGCCCCGATCCCGCTGTCCACACTGGGCACCGTCACGGTGTCTGTGGTGGGCCTCGAAGACTACCTGCCCGTGTTCCTGAACACGGAGCACAGCGTGCAGGTGCCTGAGGACGCCCTGCTCGGCATGGAGGTGCTGCAGCTGGCCACCCTCACCCGCCCGGGGTCTGAGAAGACTGGCTACCGCATGGTCAGCGGGAATGAGCAGGGGAGGTTCCGCCTGGATGCCCGCACAGGTGAGCGAGCGCTGGAGGCAGCCCTGGCCCTGGTCTTGGGGAACTTTGGATTCCTCACATACAGGGTGTATCTGCCCCATGCAGCTCCTCCCAGTCCAAACTCCTCTGGCCCTTTCTTCACTCTGCATCTCTCCAGGTACCAGGTCCCTTCTGCACCCCAGGGCCAGCTTATGTGGCAAACTCCCTTATTCCCCACATCCCCACCCAGCACCCTAAGCAATCCACTCTCCTCCCAGTTTTCAGCTTCAAGATTTCAGCTCAGTCCCAGCCATAGGAGGCTGAGGCCACCCTCCATTCTTGGCTTCAGAGGTATAAGCACTTAGTGAAATGTGGGGCTTAAGAGCCCAGGACATGACATTTGGACCAATGATCTTCATCAGGTTCAAGCTCAATTTTTTGGCAACAACTCTTTGTAGACAATGTTGGGCTCTCTTTTCACTATGTCTGGAGGCTGACTGGTTCTTTTTTCTGAGGTTAAGATTGACCATGGGCTTGAGGTTGTCAGCCTGATTCATCCAATATAGAATTCTTCATCAGTTCTTCCTCTAAGGGTTTAGCATGCTTTGATGATTATTTCCTAGGTATATTATTTCATTTGGAGCTGCAAAATGGTGATTTTTCTAACCCAATCATTCCTCATTCATGTACTAATTAGAATTCTTTTATAAAGAAGAGTTTTCCACCATTAACTACTTGCTTATCCAGGAATGGCAGGAAAACCTTATTCTTTTATTTTCTGATTTTTCAGAATAATATGTCTATGCCCTAACAATTTATTGAACAACTTTGGGTATTATATGGCTCTTTATAATTTAACTTCTGTCGTTTACTAGCTGAGTGAGTTTGAACAGGCCACTTAGCTGTTGGGAGAATCAGTTAACTCACCTACAAAATGGGAATCACTCTTTTATGTTCCATTGGGTTCTTATAGATATAATACAGGTAGATTTAATACTTCAGACTTAATGAGGTCTCAATGAAATATTACAGAAAGAAATGAGGGAAACACTGCCATTGAGAACAATAATAGGAAAAATGAGAGAAGATGGAGGGAGAGAGGAAGGTAATGAGGGAGGGTAAATAAAGAGGGAGGTGAAGGAGGGGATGAGAGATGATGGAGGGACTGAAGGAGGAGCGGAAGAAGGAGACGATGAAGGAGGTGATGGAGGAGATCTGTCTCTCCTAACCTATTGAGCTGCCTCTCCTAGGGTTTGGCTCAAGGCCTCTCAGCCCTCTGCCTTTATGTTCCCAACTGCCTCGATGCTCATCACCTTCTCTCCCCCCCCCCATCCCCCCCACCAGGGATCCTGTACGTCAACAAAAGCCTGGACTTTGAGACAAACCCCAAGTACTTCCTGTCCATCGAGTGCAGCCGGAAAGGTTCTTCTTCCCTTGGTGACATGACCACAATTGTGGTCAACATCACTGATATCAATGAACACCGACCGAGATTCCCCCAGGATCTGTACAGCACGAGGGTCTTAGAGAATGCCATCGTGGGTGACACTGTGCTCACAGTAAGGATCTACAATTTTGTTGTTTGGGGTACCTAGACTCTGGGGTAACTCTTATCTCTCTCTCTCCTGGTCATTCATGAGCATGAATTACTTTATCAATTAATACACCACAGACTTGACTCTGACTTGCAGCCACTCAGTCAAACTGTTTCCCACGACAAAATGTCTCAGGGACATGTTTAATAAGATCTAGATCAAGTACTGGTGGAAGGGGGCTCGGGAGAGGTCCCAGAAGACTATTAGAGGGTCCAAAGCCTGAGAAAGGTCTGGTCACAGCGCATGACAGGGAGTGTTAGTATAGGAGGGGAAGGAGTGGACATCAAATAACATCTCTTCACATCTAAGCGTGTAATTGTTCCCAATGCACGAGTGAAATTCTTTATGCCCATAGTCAGGGTTCTCTATGACCCCTCTTCATTCTGCCTTCCAGTCTTATCTCCTTCCACTCCCTGACATGCACCCTATACTCCAACCACATTGGAGGATGTACCTTTTCCCACAAACCCTCTGCATTTTCACATCTCTGGGCTCACATTGTTTCCTCTGCTTGGAATGTGGGCTCCACTCCCAGAAGTCATCCTTTCTTCAAGGCTTCATGAATCCTCTAATCTCTCCAGATGGAATTTATCACTGTGTTTTCTAAGCTGATCAGCTTTCTAAAGTTGATCATATCTTGCCCACAAGTTAGAATTAGCCATAAAATTAGATATTAAGCTTTTTGTGAGCATATTTCTTTTGCCATATTTTTCACCTCCTAGCACAGGACCCAGGAACCTATTGGTATGGGTCAATGAGTAAATGAATTAATGAATGGATATATGAATGAACCATGGCATGCTGAAGTCCATACAAAGATATAAATAATGAATTCCTTTGGCAAGGATGACTGTGGTCCAGTCATTGGGGAAGGGACATATCTGTTCCCCTTATACTCCCAGAGGCCAAGATTCCTTTCTGGTCCCTCTTGTCCCTCAATTCACAACCATCACCCCCTTCCACTGCAGGTGTCAGCTACTGATGAAGATGGACCCCTAAATAGTGCCATCACCTACAGCCTGGTAGGAGGGAACCAGCTGGGGCACTTTGCCATTGACCCCAAGAAGGGGGAGCTACAGGTGGCCAAGGCCTTGGATTGGGAACAGGTGAGTCATGTGGGAGGGGCCCAATCTGAGCTCATCAAAGCAAATTATAGCCCTGCTACAGGTCCAGAGTATGAATTGTGGTCAACACCCCATCCTGACACTTCTCCAGACCTGCCCTCACTTGTTTTCTCAGTGGGGCCTCTATGGCCTTTGAGGCCAGAGGCAGGAGAGGGACTGAATGACTCTTAACCTTCCCTGGAGATGCTCAGGCCAGCTTCTCACCACTGACCAGGGGTCATCAGATCATTATAACAAGTTATCATTTATGAAGCACCTGCGCTGTGCCAGGAACTTTGCTAATTGCTTTACATTCATTGTGCCATTTGGTCCTTAAAATAATCCAAGGAGGTGGATCCTGATATCATCCTCACAGAAGTCTGGTCACTTTCCCAAGGTTTCACAGATAGTAAAGGGTTGAACTGGAAATTAATGTCTGCCTAATTCCAGAACCTAGGCCCTACAATGTTATGGTTGGGCAATGGGGGATGGACATAGGAAGTGTCTCTATCTTATTTTTCTGAAAACATTAATGGTAAATCAGGGGGTGGAATTGAGGGGTCTCATTGCTAGCTCTTCACTGGGCATCCTGCTATGTAGACTTCTAGCTATTCCCTGAGGCTCCGAGCCACAGACAGCGGGCGGCCCCCACTGCATGAGGACACAGACATCGCCGTCCAAGTGGTTGATGTCAATGACAACCCACCGAGGTTCTTCCAGCTCAACTACAGCACCTCCATTCAGGTACGCGCGGCCTCCCAGAGGCACACGGAACCCACCCGCCCCTCATCTCCCTCCTGGAGGAGAGCACTCACCACTGGTGTCAGTCTCCCCGAACAATGGCTGTGACCGTGCACTGGTCTAGATTGACAAAGTCAGCAACTAACTCACAGGCAGGCAGAATGCATGAATGACAGCTCAGGGTGCAGGCATGGCCTGGGAGCAGCCAGAGTGCTGAGGACACATCCCAGAAAAGGGGATGCAGAAAGCTGTGAGAGGAAGAACTGGGGCTCATCTTGCTCTTTGATTTCCTGTTACTCTCGGTCTAGGAGAATTGCCCCATCGGCAGCAAAGTCCTGCAGCTGATCCTGAGTGACCCAGACTCCCCAGAGAATGGGCCCCCCTACTCATTTCAAATCACCAAGGGGAATGACGGCTCTGCCTTCCGCGTGACCCCAGATGGATGGCTGATGACCACCACTTACCTGAGCAGGAGAGTCCAGGAATGGTACCAGCTTCAGATTGAGGTGAGGGGTGTGTTGGGCCGGTGGCGGTGATCATAGGGACAATAAATGTGCTGGCAAAATCACTACCAGGCTTCAATTATTAGAAAAAAGCGAAGAGCTCTTATTATGTGCCAAGCACTGGGCTAAGTGCTAAACATGCATCATTGCAATATATCTTCACAACATGCTTTAGGGCAGGTATTGTTATAACCCCCACTTTATAGATGTGATAACTGAGGTGCACAGAGGTTAACTGACTTGCTCAGAGTAATACTACCTGTAAGTGGCAGAGGTGGATTGCTTCAAACTACTAAGTGGTAGAGGTGGATTGCTTCTGACCCAAAGACCCAAGCTCTTAATTTCTGCTCTTCTCCCAGGCAGAACACCCTCAACCTGGCTCTCACTCCTTAAGGTTGGTCAGGACAGCTCTCTGAACCTCAAGTCTTGTTAAAGACCTACCCCAGAGAATTGGTGTGGGGTCAAATGAGAGAACATATAGACGTGTGTAGGGGATTTTGGTGTTATTGCTATGGGTTGTATAAGAATTACCCAGTGATAGTAGCCAAGATGGCGGTCAAACACTACTCTCTCATTTCATTCCCCCCAAATCCTTTTCCTAAATCTCAAGTCTAGTGGACCCTGATATTCTGTGAACTTCTCTAGGTTCAGGATGAGTATTCATCCATTCAGCCAGTCAACTAGTCATTCATTCATTCAGTCTTTCAACAAATATTTATTGAGCACCTATCATATGCCGAACCCTCTGCTAGCTTCTAGTAATACAGCAGGGGAAAGAAGTGAATGGTTCCTGCCCTTGTGGGCTTTTGATTCTAATTGTGGAGATAAACAATTAGTAGATGAAGAAAGAAAGTGATGAGAGGCTCCTAAGGCACAGGAAGATACATATTCAGAGGGTGGCTGCCCTCATGAAGAAGGGACATTTTGAGCTGAGACCTGAGGAGCCAACTATGTAAAAAGTGGGCAGGAAAGTGTCACAGACAGGAAGGTCCTGAGTTGGAAAAGAGCTTGCAGTGACCTGAGATGTGGCCATGTGGTCAGAGCATTGTGAGCAATGGTGGGAATAATCCTGAGGAGATGAGCTGGGCAGGTGATAGAGGCCTCATAGCTTGAGTGACTGTATTATTTAAGATCCAAAACCAGGATGCTCTTGAGAGTGAGAGAGGCACTAAAAATAATTAACTGATAACTGATCTACAACAGGTGAAAAATCAAACTGTCCTGGGCAAACAAAGAGGTATAATCATCCTAATTACAACCCTTGACAATACTTTTAGATTCCAATCTAAGTGCAGTGAGAAGTGGTTGAAGGGTCTCAAACAGGGAAGTGACCCATCTTGTGTCTCAGGAGGTTCTTTTTGCAGCTCTAGAACAGGGGCGGGGAACATCCGGCCCATGAGCCGTATAAGGCCCGTGAAATCAATTGGTCTGGCCCTGCCAAGACATTAGGGGTGAGTTATTAAATGTTTGGACAAATAGAGCAGGCTAATTTTTAAGTTGATAATTTTGTATGGCCCGAGGATGATGTTATAAATATCCAAATGGCCCTTGGCAGAAAAAAAGATTACCCACCCTTGCTCTAGAAAGAGCAAATGAAGGGGGCAAGAGTGGTTGAAGGATAACAATGAGAAGTCACTGTTATAGTGGAGATAGTGGTGCTGAGACCTTGAGATGATGATGAAGTGGATAGATTTGGGACAATTTTTGCATGGAAATAAACATGAGTTGGTGAAGGGCTGGATATGGGGAGAGAAAAGAGAAGCATCAGGGATGAGTTCCAGGTTCTTGGCTCCATGAAGACTGGGTGGTTGGGCCACTTCTGAGACGGGAGAGACTGTGGGGGATGGGAGAAGTATGCGTCTATGGGGTAAAATGAGGGCTCTGTTTTGTGCATGTTACTTTTTAGGTGTCCAGGAGACATCTAAATGGAGGTGTGCAAAAGGTAGTTGGGAGTTGGAGTCTGTAGATCAGAGGACAGGTGTGGGCTAATGTAGAGGATTCTCAAAGCCAAGGGCATGGACGTGATTGACCTCTGTATCTTGGCCCAGATAAATCTCTCAGTAACGATTGGCAGCATCACTATTTCTTTGACTTGTCCTGCATCTCCACTTCCATTCACTGGGAGGCACTATAAGCCAGCAAAGAAACAGGCTATGGACACAGGCAGGAGTTCAGATTCTGCTCGGGCCTTATCTGCTGTATGGCTTTATATATTATACTTGGTAGTAGTATTGTTGTTGCTAGCCTTGGAGTGCACATGGACAAGATATTACTGTAGGGAAAATTGGAGACCCTTGTTGACAATTGAGAAAATGATAATGTTGCTGAGGAGAGGAAGGAAAACTTCGTCTTTGCTAAGTCTGGGCAAAAAGTTGCAGGGACAGCTTGGTAACATGTGAAAGGAAAATGCATTTTTTATTTACATTCCTTTCCTTGCTTCAATGAGGTCATGTCACCGCCTTGCTTAAAACCTTCAATAGCTTTTCATGGCTCTGACATAAAATGCTACCTTGTGCTCCTCTGCCCATCAGTGACCGGGTCCCTACTTTTCTCTCTCTCACCCTGTCTTCTGCTCTGCCCACTCCTCTGGCAACAGTAGCCCCTTGCTGTTTTGTTAAGCACACCACATTCTTTCCTACCGGAGAGTTGTTCCCTGTCCGTCACCTCTTGTCCTCCCCTCTTCTCATCCCTCAGGATTCAGCTCAAGTTTCACCTCTTCAAAGAAGAGACACCTTCTCTACCACCTGGTCTTTCAATCTTCAGATGTCTCTGCCACTTCGCTCTGTTTATATCCTCCATAGTACTTTATCCAAGAGTGACATCCTCTGGTTTATTTGGCAACTTACTTATTGCTCTTTTCTCCTGATCACAGCAGAGGGCCTGGCCCATAGGAGGCACTCAACAATTGCTCGCCCCAACCCTGAGCCCAATCACAGAGTAAAAGGGAATCCCAGAGAAAACCTCCCGAGGCTGATGGGGGCCATGCAGGATGCACACTGGAATCACTAAGAGAATTTTGATGACTCACTTAGACAATGAGAGAAGTTCAAGAGGAAGGAGGTGGATCATGTGGCTGGAAGGGTTTAGGGAGAGGCTCAGAGCAGTGTCCAATGAGGAATTCGAGTTCAGTTTTACTGTGTGGTGCAGGATGTAACTCCCTCCACAAAACCTTCAGTGCTAGTATTTTCTTACTCAGATGCGACAGCATGCTGAGGCTGCCTCAAGCAGAGATACGTGATTCCCCATGGAGGCAGGCAGCCTGTTGGGGCCACAGTCCTATGGTAATGCCGTGCTTCCCTCGCCCACAGGTATCAGACAGTGGCATCCCGCCCCTTTCATCTTCCACATCTGTTAGAGTCCACGTCACGGAGCAGAGCTACTACCCACCCTCCGCCCTCCCATTGGAGATCTTCATCACCATCGGGGAGGAGGAGTTCCAGGGCGGCATGGTGGGCAAAATCCATGCCACAGACCGAGACCCACAGGACACGCTGACCTACAGCCTGGCAGAAGAGGAGACCCTGGGCAGGCGCTTCTCAGTGGGTGCGTCCGATGGCAAGATCATCGCTGCCCAGGGACTGCCTCGGGGTCGCTACGCATTCAATGTCACAGTCAGTGATGGGACCTTCACCACCACTGCTGGGGTCCATGTCCACGTGTGGCACGTGGGGCAGGTGGCTCTGCAGCAGAGCATGTGGATGGGCTTCTACCAGGTCACCCCAGAGGAGCTGGTGAGCGACCACTGGAGGAACCTGCAGAGGTTCCTCAGCAACAAGCTGGACATCAAAAAAGCCAACATCCACCTGGCCAGCCTTCAGCCTGCAGAGGCCACGGCCGGGGTGGATGTGCTTCTGGTCTTTGAGGGGCATTCTGGAGCCTTCCACAAGCTGCAGGAGCTGGCAACCGTCATCGCTCACTCAGCCAAGGAGATGGAGCACTCAGTGGGAATTCAGATGAGGTCAGCCATGCCTGTGGTGCCCTGCCAGGGGCCAAGCTGCCAGCGTCAAATCTGCCAAGAGACAGTGCACCTGGACCCCAGGGTGGGGCCCACGTACAGCACAGCCAGGCTCAGCATCCTAACCCCACGGCACCGCCTGGAGGGGAACTGCGCCTGCAATGGTAAGGAATGGGCCTTCCCCAGGGCAGCCAGCACTGCGGGCTCCACCAGCCTGACGCTAGGGCTGGAAAGCCCAGGGAGGGTCTGTGGGATACTGAGAGGGGAGCTTTAACAGGGCTAAAGACCAGGGACCACCAGAAGGCAGGTGTGGCCTCACAAACTCTAGTCATAGGATAGCACCCTATTCCTGGCCACTTTTTGGAATTTTGAAGATAATGGTAATACAAGAGGCAGTTTAGCATCATGGTTAAGAGCCTAGACTCTGGTATCAAGCTCCCTGGGTTCAAATCTCAGCTCTGCCACTTGCTAGCCACGTGACCTTAAGAAAACTACTTAACCTCTCTGTACCTTAGGGCTGTTATAGAAATTAAAGAGCAAGTGTTTGCTTAGAAAAGCGCCTGCTACAGAAAGTGGTCAATAAACAACAGTTCCTAATACTACTATTGTTATTACTGTAGCCTGATGGTTACAACTTCAAGGTTTAGACTAGATGGCTCAGGTTCAAGCCCCAGCTCTATCACTTACTAGCTGTGTAACCTTGGGGGTTTATTAAAATCCTCTGGGCTTTAGTTTCTCATCCATAAAATAATGAAAATATCATCATCTGCCTCCTTGAGTTGGTTTGGGGAATAAATTACGTATGAATATAAAAGCACTTAAACCCTGGCTGCCCATTATGAGCACCGCATGAATGGCAGCTGTCATTCAGTGTATCAGTTGTCGCTATAAGTCAGCGGTTCTCAACCTGTGGGTCGCGACCCCTTTGGCGGTCGAACGACCCTTTCACAGGGGTTACCTAAGACCATCCTGCATATCAGATATTTACATTACGATTCATAACAGTAGCAACATTACAGTTATGAAGTAGCAACGAAAATAATTTTATGGTTGGGTCACAACATGAGGAACTGTATTTAAAGGGCCAGAAGGTTGAGAACCACTGCTATAAGTATTCTGCCGTGTGCCAGGCTCTTTGTAGGTTACCCAAACTCAGTATCACCACAACCCGACGAAGCGGGGTCATAGCTCCATCTACAGTTGTAACTGAAGGATGGGGATTATATTATACTAGAGGCCTGATGCATGAAACTCGTGCAAGAGTAGGCCTTCCTTCCCCTGGCTGCTGGCACCGGCTTCCCTCTGGCACC